GTTAATTAACACCACAGAATTTGACGGGATTTGGACTTAATGTGTAACCAAGATGTGGGGAAACAACTCTTTTAATCCATGGGGGTCGGACCCAAAGGCTATGGGATGGGAAAACTAGCGGAGTACTCAAAATCATCCCCAACACTGGTTTATTGTTTTTAAGATTTCTTTTATTTATGTATCCAACAACTGGGGTGTAAGCCATAGGTGCGAGGGGGGGGAGGGAGATAGTGGTGGTGGAAGTATTAACCAGAGACAGATGAGACAGCAAGAGGTCTGCTGCACCATGTGGGTCAGCTCTCTGGCCGGGGGTCAAACTTGTTCTGCAGTGGCTAGCATTAGCTTGCTAGACTGCGTCTTTAGCCCCTGCACCACCAGGAAGACCCTCCAACACTGGATTGTAAAGTAGCCCCATATCTGGCCTCTTCTGGAGTCTAGATCTTCTAGATCTAGATCTCAGCAGGGCTGAGACATATTTGAGGGGTATGAGGGCCTAATGTGTCAGTGTGGAGAGATGAGATAACTGATACCTTCTTACCCAGTATTTCTCTGGAGGTGCCTCTAACTGATCGGATGTCCTGCATCAACGACTGAACTCAAAATCCCTTCACTTAAAGTAGTAGTTCGCAAACCGTGGTCTCCAAGCCAGCAGCATCAGCACCATCTGGGAACTTGGTGGAAGTACAGATTCTCCTGCCCACTCCAGATGTCTTTATTTTTAATTTTTAAAAAGATTCATTTACTTATGCATACAGAACTGGGGTACAGGCCAGAGGTGCATGTGGGGGTGGTAGTGAGAGGATTCAGATACAGGCAGGGGAGTAGAACAGGCAGATGGACTGAAATACACTGCTGAGGGGAGTAGTGGGCAGGTTAGGAGAGGTCTGCCGCGCCATGTGGGTCACCTCCGGGGCTGGGGATTGAAATGTGCTGCAGTGGCAGCGATAGCCTCACAGTGCTGGGCTTTAACCTGTTACACCACCAGGGAGGGCAACCAGGTGTCTTTAATCAGAAGTTCTGATGGGGGGCCCCTCCCTTGTGGTGCAGTGGGTTAAAGTGCAGCACTATGGATCTGTCTGCAGCCACTGCAGCATGAGTTTGATCCCCAGCCAGGGACGACACCCACATGGCACAGCAGACCTCTCCTGTCCTGCCCACTGCTCCCCTCAGCAGTGGATTTCAGTCCATCTGCCTGTCCTGTTCCCCACTCTGTCTCTGGTGAAGCCTCTCACCTCCCCCCACACACACCTCTGGCCTGTACCCTACTTCTTGTACACATAAATAATACATAAATCTTTTAAAGAAACAATAGGTAAAATCGGCGACTTAGCAGTTCCTCTAGCAGATACTGGTGCATGGTAGAGGTGGCAGACTACTGCCCGAGACCTTGGCTAGTATCAAGACTAGTAAATGGGGCGGTGTGGGGAGTTCCTAAGGCTTTAACTTGAATATTTTGTACTGTGAAGGCCCCGGTGCAGCCTGTAAGTCCACTTCCATTGTTACGATGATCTGGTTGTCCATCTCTCTAATCATAAAACTGGTGACTGTGTTCTTGGTTCTTGGTGTTCACTGTCTGACCCAGGTGTAACTTTCAAGGTGGAATTTGTGGAGGGTTCTTTAAATCCAGATGTACTCAATGGTCCTCATTTAGACCCTGGTGAATTTACCTCCTTTCAAGGTCCAGCTGATGAAGCAAGTATGCATTTTCCCTGTGTAAATTATGGTATTTTTCTCAGCAGACCGTTTGCTTAAATATCCCATGAATTGACCCTTCCCAGCAATGCAGCTATCAGCCTCCACCCGACCCCCTGACCCAGGGATTTTTTTATGCTGGGTCATTACAGCACTAAAGGCTGTCCCGGAGCTGGTGGACAGGATCTCATGATTTAATATCAGTTCCAAAAGTGGCGCAGAGGCCACGGGGCCCCATGCACCCTCACTGAGTGCTTTCAGCTCTGAAGTTCCATGTGTGAGGTCACAAAACGTTTTCACCGTCAGAACTGGATTCCAGGTGGTCCTGGACTCAGACCAACCCCAGTGAGCTAGTGTCTGACATGTCAACCTGGTCCTTCCTTAGCACAAGGACAGCCCCACATTTGGCAAAGGCCGCACACCCCCCACACCGATCATTCCAACAAGGGTGCATGAGAGGTAAAGTAACCAAAGGAAGTAACTCTTGAACAGGTTCTGGTGGCAGAGCAATTTCCTTTGCACACCTGGTTCTTCATTCTCAGCCCTGTCTGCCATGATCGGACAAACCTACGTAATCCCGGAATCCTTTCCCTCATCTGCAAGATGGAGCTGTTCCTCCTTTGCAGGATGTGGATCATGCGCAATGCCCAGCCTTGGCAGTGGCACAGATTCTCCGCTCCTCAGCTCGGTCAGGCGGATAGAGGTAAATAACCATTAACTCTTGTTTTCCTACTGTCAGTAAATACATCCAAGAAGTGGTCACTGCTGCTGCAGGGTTCAGAACTGAAAATGGCAGGGCAGCAATTTCCATTACTTCTTAAGAGAAGCAAGTGTAGGGACACTGAAGACCCATAAAGGAACGCAGTGAAGGGTTGAGAGCCTGGTGTGTGTGTGCAGAAACCCCCCACTGAGCGTGATTATGTCTCTATGGCCGCCCTGGCACCAAATGCCCTGCACAGTGAGTCACCAAGAAGAGCGGCTTAGAGTCAGCTTTAGGTTATTGATGGTGATGCAGGAAAGCAAATCCCAGGCAGTGGTAAATCTAAGCAATTCTATTTGGAACGCATTTTATATGTGCATGTAATTTTTTTTCTTGGCATGAGGTTTACCTTCCTAATTTTGTTTCCCCTTGGCTATTACTAAAACCAGTTTGTGTTCTCCAATCACAGAGGTGACAGCGGCAGGGAGGCAGCCCGTAAGTGACAGGGTAAGGTCTGCCTGGGATGAAATGTTGAAATACGCACAAATCTGTGCACAGGGATGTGTATACACATATAAGACAGTCCTGTTGTTGAAGAAACACAGGAACACGTAGCAAGGAAGTAGTTGGTTGTGAAACATCCCCAATGATCAGAGAACAAGACCCTAAAACTTTAGAAAAGCACCTTTGTTGTTATGCGTGTGCCTTATCTTTGCTGTTTATCACATCTGCCACCTCTCAGCTTTCACATAAGGTTGATGCATGAGAACCATTCAATGATCCTGATACTCAATTTCTTTTAAAGATTTAAATTTTGTAGAGAACTGAGGTGCAGGCCAGGCTTGTGGGGGCAGGGTGAGAGGATTCACCAGAGAAAGAGTTGGGAGCAGAACAGGTAGATAGACAAAGTACACTACTGAGGGGAGCAGTGAGCCACATAGGAGGTCTGCTATGCCATGTGGGTTGCCTCCCTGGCCGGAGGTTGAACTCGTGCTGCAGTGGTGGTAGCGCTGAGATTTAGCCCCAAAGCCACCAAGGAAACCCAGATTTTCTAGCATTTCTTTAGGAAATGTTGAAAGTAAACTCAAACACACATGGCCCTATGTGAACACTCATGTGGAAAAATGGATTTCTATAAGATTTTACTGATCTGTGACTAGTACTGAACTTAGAAGTCTACTCAAACATTGATGAATAAGATGTCAACCTTCCATGAAAGCTGAACTGGGACAATGTAACATGCAGGAACAAAAGAAACTTTCACTCTGTACCTTATGAGTTTTGGGTTTTAAACCCCATCAGTATATTACCTAATTGAAAAGCAAATACTATATGGCAATAGCCTTACAGACAGTCTTGGAGTCTTACTTTACATGTCATCTGGATAATTTCATGTATGTAAGGATTTTTCACAGGAAAATCATTTGGCATTTGCAAGTCCAACTTAATTAGTAAAGAGCATCACAGAATCCTAGTTTCTCTCTCACTGTTCTAAATTAGAAGAATTGCCCTAGTACTTGATCTCTATTTTCAATGACATAAAGTTATATGTATTTAGTAGTTGGCATTTGCTTGAGAACACACAAACACACACACACAGGCCTCTATGACTCACTACCCCTTTAGCTGTGCAAATAGTCATTCTGCCAATCCAAGAGGAGCAGAATTTTGTGGAGCCCCACCCACACACCTATTTTTATTGTGGCTCTGTAATCACAAATGATAATACTTCATATGAACCGTTCAGTTTTTACCCTCATACTAAAGTTTAAAAAGACAAGTCAATTCTATGTGTTTTTCCTTTTATCAAAAGGAATTACTGATGAATTTTGAAATAAAAATATCCACCTAAGACTGAAGAAGATTTTTTTAAGGTAGAGTGGATAAAATGTTTGAAAAATAATTTATAAATTACATTATAAAACATAAAACCTTCACATGCCATTAACTAAGACTTTGGAAAAGTCAGAGCTCCCAACAAAGCTTTTATTCTACCTCATATTCTGAACTCTCAAGGTTTTAAAATATTCAACTTGCCTCTATTCTTGGGGGGGGGGGAGGTAAGGGGAGTGAGGAGATGAGCCTGCCAGCTGGTCACAAGCCAAGAGTTATCCAGTCAGACCTGAATGGAAAAATCTATGATTTGTTTATTTCATAGTTCAAGTTCAAAAGCAAGAGACAATTTGAATAATAAAAGGGTAACAGGAAAAAAATGCAAAGAAAGAAAACAAATCAGTGAGAGTCCAGAAGAACCTTCAAGAACATTTAATTCGGAAAATGTTATTGGTTTAAAGAACCTGACTGAAAGAAAACAGCTGGGCAGAGTTCAAGGTTTTAAATTAAAAACAATCTAACAAGGTCTATGGGGATAACTCTTTGAGCCACATTTTGGAGACCAGATTCATTTCTACCAAGTAAAAGTAATAGCAGTCTAAGCTAAAAAGGAAATTCCTCACAACTGAGGTAGTTACTAAGAATCAGCAGATTTTCCAAGTTCTCACAAGGCAGCTTAGCTACTTACAATCCATTTTTCCTCATACATTAACGGAGCGCCTCTTCAATTTTATGTCTTCTGTGATTAAAAAAAAAAACACTTATACACACCAACCAGAATATGCCTATTTTATTAACATCATGCTTTAATAAATAACTGGCTACTTCTAATAAAATTAAGCCTCTGTTTACAACAGCCCCCGATATTCCGTTTTGACCATTCTGTAGAATTTGGTGTAAAAAGTTGAATGAAATGTAGACCCTGAGCTATCAAGTAATTATGTTTCAATATAAAAATAGAGAATTACTCTTATAACTGAAGATTGAACAAGAACACAAACAACCTCTGTGGGTTTCACTTCTGTAAAATTGGTTGTGATTTTACTGGCTGTCTAAAGCAGGAAGAGACTCACAGAATCTGACTCTTTCTGAAAACTGTGCCGGGGACTCCTTTTGCAGTGATCTGGTACATTTGCATGGTTTTATGAGCTGTCATTGGTAAGGATTCAGGGACCAGTTTGTAAGGAGCCAAGGCAGTTGTCCATCTTTGGCTGGGGCCGGTTCCGTCAGGAGCTAAAAAGTCACCCCACGAAGCAGTCTCATTTCTACCTATTATGCCCAACTCCCTGCCCCCCCAAATCCCCAAAACCAGTTGAACAAATCTGGACACTGAATTCTCCCCAAGTGGATTGATTGATACAAGCTACTACAAGTCCTTCATCTTACTGGTCAGAGGGGTTTGGGCCAGAAAAACTCATATAAGACCAGAAGCTCTGCAAAAACTGGGATTCAAAGACAAGTGTGAAGCACATGCACTGACAAAAACTTTCGTCGAGTGTTGCCAGTTATTCCCTGAGCCCAGGCTGCACCCTAATTCTGGCTACCCACCCCAACAGCGCTCCCATTTATATAGTTGAATTTGAGGTCCAGAACATTGTAACAAAAGGAACCAGATGAGATTGTTGACCATTTAATATCACCATTGGGGTATCAATCCAGAGAGTGTCAGCATGGACGAGAAGACCAGCGGACAGCAGCTGGCTGACGTGCCTGGATTACGGGGAAAAAAAAAAAAAAAACAACCAAAACCCACCCTCCCCAAACTAAGTGTGAATATACGACAACTGGGACAACTGGAATACCTGATCTCTTCTAGGGAATAGGTATCCTGAATCTTCTAAGTGGGTTACACTTCAAATATAAGCGGGTTCAAGAAATGGACCTCTTGTGCTCTTAGTCTATGCAACCCAAATCAGCCAAATGGGTAGTCTGCAGTCTCTCCCAGTCACCAGCTGTGAATAAAGTGTAACCTTCTTGTATTGGTGCTTGAATGCAACCTGACCAGCCCCTCTTGCCTTTGCATTCTGCCCTAACTTAACAATAATGGTGAAAAAGTCACCTCTGCTTCTCTCCAGATAAGGCAACTAAAACAGGGATAAATGGAAATTTTACTGCTTGCTGGGCTTTTTCTTTTAATAAGATAACATGATAAATAAAACCTGCTTCTGTACAGCTATTTAATATTTCAGAAATACGTACATGTTACATGCCAAGAAAGGACCCTGGTTTTCTTTTAAGAAACAAGGTGAGATCATAACTGAAGAAAAAAAACCCACAAACAAAAAGGAAAAAAAAATCGTGATAAAAATCACAAATGCACAGCTAGCTACAGTTCTGTTCCTACACTGTCAGCCACATTTAACAGGATTCTGAGGGAGCAGGAACTGACTTTACGGGTAGTCCCCTTTCCCCCCACTGCAAAACTGAATGAAAAAAGTCAGCACTTTTTAAAACCGGTGGCCACATAGTAAAAACTGTACATCGTTGTCCATTTGTTTAAAAAGCAAAGTCACTAGAATGGTATAAAAGTGATAGCCGGCGCCTCTTTAACTTTTTGATGATGAACACGCTTCCCCTCCAAGGTGGAGAATTATCTCCACTCTCTCTGCATAACCAGGAACAAGATGCAGAAGCCAGTGAGGAGGTAGGGCTGTGTCCCCGCAAGGGCAGCAGCGCGACTGGCTTTCTCGTTGGCATTCTTCCCCGAGTGCACGGTCGCGTTGTACTCGAGCTCCAAAGGGCACCGCTGGTCCTCACATCCACTCCCACTGCCTTCTCCGCTGCTTTCATCACCTATTTTGTTAAAAAGTGGGAGAGTTCATTACACGTGTCCATTACAAGGAGACCGGGCGCAATCTGTCCTCAAAAGCCTCCCTGTGCTTACTGATATCAAAGAAGTCCACGTCATTGCCGTTGTACGCGTTCTTCATTTTACTGGTCATCACCCGAAGTGCCATAATCTGGCGAAGGATTACTACGTCCGGTTTGCTGGTGTCCACCTGGACCTCCGGATTATTGCCCTGGTTCGCTAAACCATTTCCAGTCACTGCAAACAGGTACCTGAAATAAGAAAGGACCACTCTCAGGTGAGCTGCGAAACGAAGACTGCAGCCTGGCAGCACAAGCTTCTACCAGCCCACAATGTTGCTTCTGAGTCCCGGACACCCGTCAGCTGCAGTCTTTGTGCGAAGGGCCACTGTGCCATAACCTTGTGAACATCCTGCCAGGACAGGATTTCCCCCCTCAGCTGTGGTCATCATAACTCTTCCACCCAAACACCAAGTCCTCCACCACGGACCATGTTGCATCCTTCTTTGTCATCCTGCCTCCTCTCCCTCTGCATGCTGTTAATATTTTTTAAATATTTATTTATCAATGTATGCAGAACTGGGGTACAGACCAGAGGTGCAGGGGTGGTGAGAGGCTTCACCAGAGACAGAGTGGGGAGCAGACCAGGTAGATAGACAAAGTACACTGCTAAGGGGAGCAGCGGGCGGGTCAGGAGAGGTCTGCCACACCATGTGGTCACCTCCAGGGCTGGGGATCGAACTTGCACTGATGTGGTTGCTGCTAGCTTGCAGTGCTGTGCCCTAACCCATTGCAGCACCAGAGAGGGTCTGCATGCCACTAATCTATGGTCAGTGATTTTTTTTTTCATTTCTAATGAATGTGATTGTCTTCTTTCGCTGGGTATATCTCTTGTTTCTCCAATTGGACGAAGATGTTTTCTGAAAACTATCCCCTGTGCAGAGGCTGGTGGGTGACATGAAGTATCCTAAAATGGGTGCTTAGCTAGGGTATGGAGTGGTATAGGCAAGGGACACAGGACATCCTCAGAAAAGGACATGGGACTGCTTGAGAACCAGTGCTTTATGAGGCCAGGCCACCATGGCAAAGACCATAGGTGTGAGATATTTGGAAACCAATTACACAGTGCAGCTCATCCACCTGGCTGCCGTCCTGTTGCCTGAAGAGGAATAATGGTGTAACCTTCTGTGCCAAGATGCTCTGCGAGTAGGTAGGTGCTACTTCCCAAGACTTGCACAGCCAAATCCACTCTAAAGACAGACTAGCAATTTTCCATAAGACTGCAGTCTACCAGGAGTTGCTTCCTGAGGCCCTGACCAAGAAGATCCTCTCTGAAAATCCCCTAGGCATGGAGGCAGCACAGGCCATCAGTCGAATCTAACCTGCTCTTGCCCTTCCCGTTCCAGCAGTCATCCTCGTTGCCATTTCCTGCAGCCATCCTCTCGTCGTTGCACACATTGCTAGGAAGAGAGGACCAGAACTTTTTGGCCTGTTTCAGTTTCTCTTTGACATCAGTAACCTAGGTAAGAAAGGGAGAAAAAAAAAAAAAACTACTGTAGAACAACACAGCACTACCTCATCAGTGTGGCTTCTGCTGATATCTGAAATTTCCCAAGAATGATGGGCAATTCCTGTTCAACTTTACACAGAAGAGAAAAATGCACATCAGGTTTATACTCAGAAGCACCAAATCACCCAAGTGGATTCATTTGGCATGCCAACTCCACAGGAGCTGCCAGACTGTGCCCAGCCACATCTCTTCATTCTGCCTACTCTGAGTTCCACCAGGTTCCATGGCCTGGAGACAGAACATAAGACCCCCTCTCGTCTCAAAGAGTCTTTGTATTCTGGATCAAGCTTCTTGAAGTTCAGTGCCCCACGCCATGTGCCCGTCTCTGCTTTCCCACCCCACCACCTCTGTCCATCCTCTCTACCCTGTGCTGGCAGCATGCTGGCTTTTGTGAGCAGCTGGCTGTATTGCTCCCCCTCCTCCCATCCTGCCACTGACTCAGACATCAGTACATTAGTGGGCCTGGGGTACCTCTTCTCCCTCTTTGTTGCATTAAGCCCTCCCGTAACAGACGCTGGGATGGGCTCACAGCAGATGCTGTAAATACACAGTGAAACAAAGGCAGCCTTTGAGGCAAGACTTCTTTTTAAAATTGTATTATTGTTTTACTGAGGTAGCATAGGTTTACGACAATGTCTGGGACAGGGAGGTATATAAGATCACACCTCTTGAGACAAAGCGACCACACCAAAACATCCACATACCTCCACCTTATTCCACGGAGTCCCCTCTCCCCTTCACTTGCACCCCACACTGCCTCAATAAGCTAAGACTTTACATCCCATGCTCAAGACTGGCTTTGAAACTTTCGGAGCCTGAAAATGAGAAAGGCAGACTTACTGACATCCACATGCACTTGGCCTGAAAAGCAGCACTTGGAGCGCCCCCACTTGTAAGCCTTCCAACTAAACATGCCCTTGGAGCAAATGTTTTCAGTTCTTTGTCATTAAACACTGCCATTTCTGCCAAAGCACTCACCAGTCGGTCCAAACTAGTGCCAGCCGCTGTGGTGGGGCGTTCCTCGGGGTGGTACGGCCTGAAGCGCGCACTGAAGGCACTGAAGGTACTGAAGGCTGCACTTTCAGGGACAGAGCGGGAAATCCGTCCAGCTGGGACGGGTTTGGGGGGTCCGCAGCCCTGGAAAACCTGCGTTGGAATAAACGGTGGTATGTCACGAAGTGACGTGCTGCAGGGCACTGGCACATACCTTCCCACTCTCTCTCCCATCTTTGTTACCTTCTGAGACACTTGCACGCTGTTCTCCTGCATGTTCATGATAGCATCAGAAATCTTCACATCAATGGGGTCCATGACTGACTCGATGTTGAAAGGACCCTCTAGCCTCTCGGCCACCATGAGCATAGCATCTATCAGGAGGCACAGGGAAGAATAATAGAGCAGTACATCAGTTTTCTGGCTAATCAGTCTGATGATTGCACTAGCTTGTTTTGTATTATTGATGAGGTAGAGAAGGAGGGAAAGAGAGGGGACACAGTGAAAGTAGCTACCATCTGTTTCTTTTTCAAAAAAGAATGATTCCTTTATTGTAAGATTTTCATTAATTTTGTTTATTTTATGTACAAGAACTGGGGTGCAGGTCAGAGGTGTGGGGGTAATGGGTGAGTGAGTGTATCAACCAGAGACAGAGTGGGGAGCAGAACATGCAGATTCACTCAAATACACTGCTGCTGAGGGGAGCAGCGGGCAAGTCGGGAGAGGTCTGCTGTGCCACTGGGGTCAGGTCCCTGGCCAGGATTGAACCCAGGTTGTCTCGCCTGTCGCAGTGGTAGTGCTAAAATGAACCCCTGGGCCACTAGGGAGACCTCGGCTACGACCCATTTCTATTTCACCATACTGCAGTTAGTCACTGTGCACCCGAAGGGTGAAATGGTAGATGACTTCTTGATCTATAGTCCAGCATGGAAGCACAATCTGGAATCTTCTATTACACTGACTATTCTTCCCTTCATATGTCAGTGCTGTCAGTGCGAGGCCAGTCACTCCCAGCTGACAAACCTAAGGCTGGAGGCAGAGGCACATGCCAGCTCTCCCCCAAGACTTCCTAGGATCTTTTTCTCTCAGGTCCCATTTACAAGAGTCAAAAACATAAATCAGTCAAAATCCTGGCATACCAATTCTTTTCTTTCATTTTTTAATGAAACCTTTTCAGATCCCCAAGTGCACAGTTGGAAAACACAAATGAAAGTGTTCCTGGGAATTCTAATGACTTTTCAAAGAATGAAATTGTGAAAAATGCAATTTTTGCATTAAGATTAAATTCCATTTCAAATAAAAGGGACTTGATTTATTTTTAAAGCAAAACACCTTATCACCCTGTTCTTTTTACTTGCGGGAAAAGACAACATAAGACACAGAACATAAAACTATGTGTTCACAGCATGGCTTCTGATTACTCTCTGCACGTTACCTATAGATTCTGGGGGAGTCTGGAATTATTCAGCACACATCACATCTCTTTAACAAAGTATGTTGGGTTTGCTTTCTTGTAATATACGTGTGCTGTGACTGACATTTAGTACTTTTGCCTGAAAACTTACAGTGCACAATCAGAAGAAACGGAAAATACATAGTCCAAATGAGATAAAGGATGCTTCAATAATGGTAAGCATTTGTCCCCTTTATGTTTGAGGTCTTAAAGCATGACAGGAAAAGGATGCTAGGATCCACAGCCTTTGGGCTACTCCCAGGAGAGCTACTAGAAAGATCTCAATTCTAGATGAGTCAATCTGTCTTTTGCTCAAAGAATACTCCAGGTCCCAGCTGAACTTCTACCTAAGATTTCTAGTGGGAAGGCTTGGTTTAAACATCAGCATATCAATGAAATCTAATTTGGTCAACCTTTCACCTTCAACCTAGAACAAATGCAACACAACATTTAAAAGCACGAGGTCATTTCTCTAAACTAGAATTCCGATGTCACAAACCACAAATAGATTTCCGTGCAATGCAATTTTTTTTTTAAGTAATAACAAATGAAGTTTCACATGGCATTGTGGCAAGCCCCACTAAGTGATGCTTCCAACCTCTAAGTAAAGGCTGCCAGCATGAATATGCCATTGTACTAGAGGAGAGAAAAAAATGCTTTTGATGTGCTAGCAAAAGGAGACTTTTGTAAACAAGTGGAGCACAACTTGAATGTGTTCATCACTGTCAAAGCATCAGGGCCGCCACGTACAGAAAGCACATTCCTTCGTCACCTAGAAGTCGTCACTGGCTCCAAATAAAAATATTATGAATAGACAGATAATCAACTACCAAAATGCAGCGGTTTAGACTGGGGGTAGGAGGGGAAAGCACACTTTGTAGCTCCAAATTCCCCTAGTGGTGAGGACAGGCCAGATCGCTCGTGTGTTTGTGAAAGACTGAAAGGAAACATAAGCCCCAATTCTTCTGGCTGTTTGGCGTCTTTGTAAACTCCGAGCCAGGCTGCCATACACAAGGGCCTGGGAATGGAGAGTGAAGCCGGCCTTTGTTGGGGCCGGTGCCATGGCGTTGCCTGTCGTGCTGCTGAAGAATGTGAATGAGGACGCGTTCTGCCTGGAGCCAGCAGCTCGGGAGCCAAAGCTGCCTGTAACCCGGGGGAGTCCCAATTGGCTACACTCGGCCTCTCCCCTGCAGCAGTCCGCTGGGTTAGATGCCCTAATAGAAGCCCAAAGATGATCGGTCTGCTGTTTGACTTTTCCTCTGTTTGATAGGTCAGCCGGATACCCAGCTGGCTCCTACCTCCTGTCAGGACCTGGCTGTTAGCTCCAGCAGCCCCAACACCTCACATTAAAGTCCTGCTGGCAGCGACATGTAACATTACTAAGGCTGATTGAGCGTCAAACAGATGTTAACATGATGACACTATGCGATGGTGAACAACTTGCACCTAAGTAGAATTCATGATGCTTCTAGAAATTGTTCCATGAAATACTGTTTTACTTTTCCAAACTAAAGATTCCCTATAACCAACCTATTGCCAAATCATGTCCAAGGTGTTTCAATTATGTAACCATGTGGCTGGTTAAGACTTGAGCAGATGTAGAGAGAGGAGAGGACAGGCATGGCAGCAGGAAGGCAGATTAGTCTCTTAAAGGGTCTAGTTCAACCACAGGAGTTCAGTGCTCAGGATTCTGGCATTGAGTTGTGTCCTGTCCCAAGAATGCATCCACATCATCTCACTAGGGAAAGTAATTCCTTTTGCACTAGGTTGGCTGATAACCAGAAATACACATCTTCAGCTTCACAACCCCACTGGAAAACAAAAGGCAGCTTCCAGACTTATCCCCAAGATCTAATTTAAAGAAACAAGGGAAGAGGCCCTTGACCATACATTAACAGCAGTCATTTAAAGGTGAGAGAAAAATTCCTTGCAAAGGAGGGGGAAAAAAAAAAACTCACTGCAGAGGCATGTAAATTGGGGCTAGATTCTATAACCACAGAGCAAGTTAAGTAAACCTTTGTGAGAACTCATGAAAAAGCATTGGAGATTAACAATGTCTATTACTCTTGGCCTTTCATATTAGTTATTAGAAATAAGAATATGATACCCATTAAAAATGAAGTTTAGATACAATTATATCCCTCTAGAAAGTATCAATCAGAACAATAGAGGAAAACTGATTCAGAAAATGTTACCAATGTCCATTTGTAATCAAGTTTATTTCTTGAAAGATAACAAATGTAATTCTGAACACATACAACAATAGCAACTTCAGGTCCTCCTTGGCTTAAGCGTAGCTGGTGAAAAATGCATTAACCAAGCCAGAGTGTGGTTTTGATTTGATATGGACCTGCAAACTCTTGCAAAAATATGTAGAAGAATTTGTATTTTAATACCAGGATATGAGGATGTTAGTTATAGCTTCTGCCAGACATGTCAGGATACTAGAACAAGAGGCATGCACCTCTGTGCTTGATTCCTACTGTGTCTGTTGAAAAGTCAGCAACACCAGACATTTTTTTTTGTATTGCATGGCAAATTCCCCTACTTTGCTCAGAGAACTAGAGGTTACAGGGGAAAGGCCAACTAACTTAAAAAAAATTATCAAAAGCAAACTGCAAACTTGACTTCTGGGTGTGGGGGTGGTAATGGGATTAAAAAGAAAACAAAGTCAACTTTAGATCTAGAAATGCCATCAGCTTTGATTTTCGTGTGAAATATTTTAAAGTAACAGTTACTCCCATGGCTTCTCTCTGGGCATGACATACTGGGTGTGTGTCTTTGTTGGTTGTATGCCTTTCCTTTCATGCAATTCTGTTTTTCTGTGTGTAAAAGATTTCTTCAGGTCTTCTAGCTTTGAGTTAGTTAGGCTTACAATTGTGCTGAAGTACTTAATGTTTACTTTTTTTCTTCCTAGGTCAGTGTTCTCAACAATCTATTGGAGTCAATTTATTGATGCACTTTCAAACAGTTAATATGGTAATTAATTCTCAAGCAGACGAAAAAGCATTCACCAATTTCAATCCCTCCCCAAAGAAAACAAGCAAACAAATTACATACATGTTCTTATGAAAAGGGGACTAAGAAGTGAAAAATAAGTGTTCATAAAGCACTCAAACTCTGCAGTTACATAAGGGTGACTGGGGGAAGGGAATGGACATCGGAGTTGGTTATAAGCTGTGAAGTATACATGGCCCTGCTCACGCTCAGGCGAGGAGCACAGATGCTGGTCCCTGAGGTTCAGGACTAATACACATCCGAAGAAGGCTTCAACGACAGAACAATGAAACTAACCTTCTCGGATACTTTCCCCCAAATCCTAACACTGCCTCTCAGAGACTGGCCACTCCCCTTCCATTGCTGTCTGGGTTACAAGAACAGTTTCCAGGTGGAAGGAATGCGTGGGAGCACTTACCTCTAAAATTATTAGGGCAAAAGTCCTTCCACTGTTACCAGCAGTGTGTTAAGTCCTCTAGAATAAGAACCCCTATATTTTCACCATCAGATTTCACCTGATCCAAACATCCTCCGGGTATCTGGCCAGTTAGCAGGTGATTCAGTTGCAGTATAACAGATATTAACATTTTAAAAGCCACTTTCACAGCTCAGACATGGGTACTCTAGCATTTACATGGATACATGCCTGCCATGCATAACTAAAACTGACCTTTGGGTGGAAAATATCAAAGTCACTTTCTCATTATTGAATTTAGTAATCACACTCTAATGTCTTCAGAAATACCACCATTAGTTCAAGGGAACATTTACTGGTCGAATGGTCTGGACTTTGAGCACAGTTAGGACTCTGGCAAACATTAAACAACAAAAAGAAATTTCATAGCTGACTATTACAACTTTACTTGTGGTGGGAAACAGAGTTCTCTTCAGCAAGATAAACACATTAATGGCTTGCTCACCTATAAAGTTGTTCCACTCAATATCCAGATCCCCTTGGTTGGCCAAACAGCCTCTCATGATGTTTGAGCAGTAGTTGTAACAAGGCTTCACAGTCACAAGGCCCTGGCAGTGAGAGCAGTAGATCATCTTCAACAGGGCATGGGTACACTCGGCTGTGGGATTCACCTAATTTGGGAGAAGGAAAAAAGACAATGGTAGAGTTCAAGAAAACACAGAAATCAAAGTCAATTCACTGTTACAAGAAATAGAAAGACACAAGGAAATGGAAAGATATCCCATGCCAGCAGATCGGAAGAATTAGCATTGTTAAATGCCCATCCCACTCAAAGTAATATGCGGACATAATACAATCCCTACCAAAGTTTCAGTGCCATTCTTCAAAGAAAAAGAGAAAACATTATTAAATTTACATGGAACCAATGAAGGCCTCATATAGCCAAAGCAATCTTAATAAAAATGTGGAGGGGTGGAGATGTTAACAACTCCCAAACTGAAAAATATACTAGAAGACTACAGTAATCAAAAGAGTATGATATTGGGATAAAAAATAGACACACAGACCAATGGAATAGAATACGAGCTCAGAAACAAACCCATTTTTATAGTGACAGCTAATCTATGACAAAGGAGTGAAGAATAATATACAATGGAAAAAGAAAGATCTCTTCAACAAATGTTGCTGGAAAACCTGGTCAGTAACATAAAGAAAAATGAAACTAGACCACTATGTCACACAATGATGGGGACTACATCAAACAAGAAAGTTTCCATACCTTGGAAGAAATGATTATCGCAAAGACAAGCAACTGAATAGGAGGAAATACTTGCCTATCATAAATCTGACATGGGATACTATCCAAGATGTACAATAACTCCTACAAATCAACATAAAGAGAATAGGCCAATCAAAAATAATAATAATGAAAACCAGAGCGAGACAGATACTACCTTAAAAAAATTAAACCAAGGTTGTCATTAGTGTGGAAAAAAAGGAACCATCATACACTATTGGGGGAAATGTAAACTAGTCTAGTCTCTATGGAAAACCGTATGGAAGTTCCTCAAAAATAGATCTACTCTGTAACCCAGAAATTCTACTCCTAGGTATCTATAAAACATGAAGAATACAAAATCACAATTCAAAGGGATGTCTGCCCGCCTTTGTTCATTGTATCCACATTTACAATGGCCAGGTTATGGGAACAACCAAAGTTCCTGATGACAGAGCAGTAGATTAAGACCTGATATATACACAAAATGGAATATTACTCAGCTATTAAAAAAGAAGAACTCTTATCATTTGTGACAGCATAAATGGAAATAAAGGGGATTATGGTAAGTATCACAGTCAGAAATAGACAAACACTGTACTTCAGTCAAATGTGCAATACAGAGAAACAACACAAAGGAACTGACAAAACTAAACCAAAATAAATCCTGCAAGTGTGAGTGCAGAATTGATGCTATCAGTGGGTGACATGGGTAGAGCTGAAAACAAAGCAGTGAGTGTCCAGTGGTCAGGGTAAAGGACTATGGGGTACTTAGATGGTGGAAGTGCAGTGGCAACATACAACTGAGGAGGTATGAATCTATTCCCCTAAATCATATCCATTAGTGTAAATAAATGTTTCTTCAATAAAAAAATTAAATACTGATAAAATTAGAAACAACTTTTATTTTCCAAATAAGGGGGGGAAATTACGACTATCAAGTTGACAATGAAGTCTTAGCCATAAACCTTGAGAGCTGTGGTGTATTAAATTTAGTACAGCTGGCCTGCTTCCTGAAGTGATCATGGGTTAAGATTAGATAAAGGGCAGGCATGTGCTGGGAAGAAGGGAGGGATGAACTCTGAATTACCTTAACAACCACATTGAGTATACCTCCCACCCTACAAACTCCCACTTGGCTTCCTTCTTTCCACTTTCCCTCCTCATGTTAAAATGGTTCAGTTATATGTATGGCTTTTTCCAAGAACTTTCCAGAATAAGCTGTGAGGCAGATTCATAGAGGTTCCATTCCCCTTCCTACCATGCATACATGCTATTGCTCTACCATCCAGACACAAGCTGATCTTTTCAACCACACTGACTCAAGGGCTGCCCTTTAGACTTTAAGGCACTCCCCAAATCAAGGTTTAGAAGGACAACCAGCTCACACTCCGTTCTGTGCTAATAGCTATGCACAAGGCAACGTTAATAGTATGGTGAAGAATAGATTTGGGCTTTTTGTAGTAAATTTATTGTAGCCTTTCTACATGTTGATTCTCAACAATCAACTCCTGAAACATGCCACATTTCTTCAATAAAAGGGGAAAACCTAATGTGCTCTATCTACAGGGAAGAATGAGGAAATAGAAGCTTAGGGTTTGGGGAAGGCCTTCCAAGGCTCAGGAGCAGTAAAGCATGGTGCTCAATGATTAGTTCATGAAGAGGTAAGATTTTTGGTACAATTTTGAACAAAGGATTAGATTTAAGTAGTCACAAGAAACGAAAAGGGAAAATGCAAAGCAACAAGCTCTAAGATAATGTACCAAGCATACACTATCCTCTTAGTGTGGGGAGGGGGTTATGGGAAATGAGGTTAGATGCACAGGGGTGTGTGTGGGGGGGTGGGGGGGGAGGGGGTGGAGGGGTGGCTCCAGAATTTGATGGGGCTTGAACACCTGAAAGGGACTGCAACACCATATGGCAGAACACAGGGCTTACCAAAAGCTCACAAAGAAGGGAAGCAACAGGATGAAAGCTGTTTAGAAATCAGAGTGCACTAGCTATTTTTTTGGAGAGAAACATGGCTGAGTTTCATCTTTCTAGTTCTATCGGAAGAAATTGTCTTGGGTACAGTAAAGCTGGTCCCATCCTTTTTTTTTTTTTTAAAGATTTATGTATTTCTGCATACAGAACTGGGGTACAGGCCAGAGATGCAAGGATGGTGGTGAGAGGATTCATTAGAGACAGAGTGGGGAGCAGAATAGGCAGATGGATAAAGTACACTGCTGAGGGGAGCAACAGGCCATGTGGGTCAGGCCCTGGTCGGGGATGGAACTCTGGTTGGAACTCAGGTTGAAGTGGCTGCAGCTAGCTTCACAGTACTGTACTTTAACCCATTGTGCCCCGGTTCCATCTTGTCACTCGTTTCCACCAGTGCTTGGAAGGGATCATGGCTTGGTATCGCACGCTGGCAGTTAACCCAAAATACCTGTCTTCTCATCTTCTCTGCCTAACTCATATCCCACCCTCCCTTTCTGGAGTTAATATCAGAGATTTGTGCATTCTTCGCTAATCAGTTTCAGGTAGTTCTGCAAACACAGACTTCTGAAAGTAGATACCACTGCAGGGACAGATGCTGGGATGAAGAGCAGAATACTTCACCTGCTCTGGATAACACTTGCTGCAGTCCCAGGAGGAACAGGGAGGGGGATTAACACCATGCAGAGAGCACTGCTAGGATCCTAGGTATCGTATGCATGAACACATGTGTACACACACAAAAAAACTCAAAGAGAACTCTTGCCTAAAACATGATAAAACCCACAAGTGTGATGTATACACTAAAGTCGACATTCCCTATGAAGAACCAGGAGTTTTTTACAGTTCACCTACTCCCAAATGTTTTCCTCGGCCTAAATTAGCCCTTTTAACTGTGTGTTAATGTACAGCAAAAGCTTACTAACCAATACCCTGGAAGAATGGTCATTCTGGCTAGGTAGAAGTTCATTTCTTTCAAGTCGCAGATGGGAACAATTTTCACACCGGTCCCTCCCCTCACTGTGAGCAATAGGCCCGGACAGGAGAATCCTAGGATCACAGAAGTCTTAAGAGTTGGAAAGGGCCTTGACGAGCAATGAATCCAATTCTCACGTTTAAGAGATAAGGAGCTCAAAACCAAAGAGTTTAGTGCAGTTGCCAACAGTCACACTGCTACCTTTGACTCACCATTTGTGATGAAAAGCTTTCCCAGATATATCATGTTATCCTGCCTTCTTAAAAGATATGACCCTCTTATCCTAAGTATTGGTTGTTTTCTTTAATTTGAGTTAAAGTCTATAAAGGTGAGACAGCTAAATGGCTGGATATTAGAGAGGTAACGAGTTATGTAAATGTTTATGAAAAATCATAGAAGACCTGTTGGGCATTTGTCAAATATTATGCTTAAGAGTAAACAATGCCCTAGAGTAGTAAGAAATGTAGAAAGTCAATAAGCAGTCACTGAATACTTGCTGCACAAGGGATTATTCTCAATTGTATTTACCATAAGGTATCAAGGTAAGAAACCTGGGCCCTCCCTGGTGGCACGGGGTTAAAGTACACCACTATGAAGCTATCCGCTATGAAGCTAGCTATCTGCAGCCTGCCAGGGCGCTGACCCACATGACATGGTGCAGCAGACCTCTCCTGTCTCGCCCGCTGCTCCCTCAGCAGTTTATTTCAGTCAATCTGCCTGTTCTGCTCCCCATTGTCTCTGGTGAATCCTCTCACCTCCCACACCTCTGGCCTGTACCCCACTTCTTATATACATAAATAAAATAAACCTTAAAAAAAAGAATATGAAAGCTGTCCTAAAAACACAAAGAAATTCCAAAATGGCATAGGGCCTTTAGGAAATAAGCAAACTATTTAAATTCAGTAGTTATAGTCAAGAAGCATTCTTTTTCAAATAATGTCCTTTCCTCTTTTAATTCTAGAAAGGGTCTGCTAAATTCTTGGTTCAATCACAACTTAAAACCATTTATGCTTGCAGTCCAAAATTACTTACTCCCAGTCCCCAAAATAACTTCTTTAGTTAAGTAGATTTACTATGAGACCCAAGACCAAGTGGTAGATGATGCCACATGGGGATTAACAAAGGCAGCGATGATAGCCCAAGGTCTTCCTGTAATCCTCAGGCATGTGTGGACTCTGTAGAGCATGCATGCCACTGAAAATGATCTGCTTGTTCCTTTGGGTCATACCTCTTGACTAATATTTGATAAGCTTTCCTTTTGTCTAGAAGATTCTGTTAGCCCAGATGTCAGTGGCTTACAGAATCCTTTGGGCTGGGATAGGTGCAGGAGTGGAGGGTTATTATTGCTTTTCTAAGTCATGTTTTCAAGACTTCTCTTAGGGATTAAATAATTATTTCTCAAAATAATATCTGGAAAAAGACAAGGAAAGAACAACTATATT